TTTAGGCAAGTGCCTTTGGTAGCAGTGTGCCTAAATAAGGGCAGATGCATAGGAGGTGTAGATTTTTCTAAGAACTTGATTATTGCTGTTGCTTACCATCTCTGCAGCTGCGGGTGCTTCAGTAGTAAATCTCATTTACCACATGCTGCTTTTGCTGTAATGGCTGGTTTCATCTTTGAAATGGGTTAATCTCAGCAGAAGACTTTCTTGGTTGGATTTGAGAAGAAAAATCTGGACATGACTGTGGCTCCCCTGCCGCACGTGCTCTTGCTGCGTTCAAAAATGCTACAGAAGGAGGGGAGATGAGAGCCAAAGGGAATTATTTTGTGATTAATTTCTTAATTGTCAAACATCCAGATGTGGCAAAGGCTTTGTGCAGTGGCACTGGATTTGTGCATGCACTTTCTGCTGTTGCTTTGTTTCTGCATCATGTTGTGGTTTTCTTCCTTTCTGGGTAGCCTTGATATTTATCCACCGGAATCAGGATGCTTAGGGTATATTTTCATAATATTATGGCTTTTTATGTGGGAGAGTGGAGCTGTGGATTTATATGTATGTTACCATCTTTGTGTTCCTTTCTGCCCTGGAGTACAGTGGTAGAGAGTAAAGGTGTTTTTGTAACAGCCGACCATAAAAATGCGATGGTGTAGTCCATCAAAAGAATATTTGTGCTCCTGCAGAACTGTACTTTGTTCGCAGCAGAGACAAAGAAAGGAAATCAGTCAAGAGTTGCAAAGTGTGTGGGTTCCTTCCACGCACCCACGCGTGCTCGCGTTCTCTCACGTGCACCTCTGAGCCCCGGCGACCAGGAGTCGCCGCTCGCTTGGTAATTTCTGATGTTTTTTCCTGGCTTCTTTGTTTGCTCAGTCAAGCCACCAGATGCAGAAATCGAGTTTACTGTTGCCCGCCTTCCTTTGCAACACCTCGTTGTGGGGGAGCGGCTTGTGCAAGGCGCTGTTAGCTCTGTCGCTCGTCTCCAAGCAGTGGTTACTCTTAAAACCCGGTGATGGCGTGTTGTGAAACTTGCCACTGAGTTTTAATTGTGGCCACGTGGTAACACGCTGGTGCTCAGGCATATTTTCTGACTGAGGACAGAGATCTTTTTTTAAAGAGGCTATGTCAAGGAAGGGAAGGCAGGTGGGTTTTGTTTCCTCCAAGACTTAGAAAAGTGGGTCTGGCAGATGTGGTCAGGTAGGACTGGAGCTGCTGGTTCAGCTAAGCGTGGAATAAAATCTTAACGCTTGCGTAGGCAGGACTTCAATCATTGGGTACCAAAAGTTGTTTTAATATGGCTCTGCGGAGGCATGGCTTTTATAGCACGTCTGTAGTTCGGTTGGTAATTATTAGCAGTGGCTAGATGGTATCAGTCATGCCATTCAGTATGTAGCTTTTGATCTATCTGTCAGTTCTGCTAGGTTTTTTTGTGGACTGTATAATTAAAATCACACTCAAAATAATCCCCCCTTCCCTTCTCTGTTTTTCCAGGAGGCGAAGGGCAGAGTGGAGATGGGCAGCAGACCGTGCAGCAATCGTCAGTCGCTGGAATTGGCTCCAAGCCCATGTCTCGGACCTGGAATACCGAATCCGGCAGCAAACGGACATTTACAAGCAGATTAGAGCCAATAAGGTGAGGACCAGGAGTGTGTTTGCATGTCTGTGATTTTGCTCTGTCTGCCTCCTAATGGCTGTCTTTTCTGATGCAGTGGGGAGTGTATATGCAAAATCTGATGCTTCCCCCCACCCCGCATCTCTCAAAAAGCATATTGCACAGTTGTGACTAATTGAAATGCTATTTGGCATGGGCTGAGTGTAATTCTTTTCTTTGGTTCAATATGATAACATGAAGAGAGCAATACTTTATTTTAAAGTCAGTCTTTGGTTACTGAACAAAACTGTTGCTTTTACATACGTGTTGCTGTTCTCTGCTGTTCCAGAAAAAAAACCTTTCTGTTCTTTCTTTTTGCAAGTAGCTGAAGATGGGGATAAGGAACAACTTAACAAGGGACTTAACTGTGGAGGAAGTTAGCTTCAGATACTATCACACAGCACAGGCTTAAAATTGAGGCTGTATCATAAAAAAAGACTGTTTCTAGGTGCTGACCTTTGCCTGTGGAAGGAATAATTTTTTTCAGACTTGGTCTCAGATGGTGGGAGAATGGGGGAGAGCAGAGAAGGGATGAGGAAGGAATTGTTATGGAAACTTGTTCGGGCATGCATGTCTAAATGTCAGGCCTTGGAGGGAAGAATGTCGGGAGTTTGTGGCAAGAAGGCTCATGATATTGCATCAACTTACAGATCCTTAGGAATTCGGAGTCCAGCAAACGTTTTTCCCAAGATGTGTGGTGCTCCTGGGGGTGGTGGGGAGAGAGGCTTCCAGGCGGGTAGAAAGCACAGGCAGGGAAGGAAGACTGGGCTTTTATGCAGCTATGTAGAAAAACAGGCTAATTAAGTGAGTGCGGGCTGTAAATGACTAGGTGGAAGAGCATGGCTTGCTGAACGGAATACATTACTGAGATTAGAGCAAAAGGCTTCTGGGAAGCGGACTATATGTCAAATTAATGAACCAGTTTCAGAAAGAACCGTCTTCCTTCTGTCTTAAGAAAGCCTGTCATGCAAGATGGTTTCTAAGTATAAAATACAAAATAACTAAACATTTATATGCTAAAAGTTAAGTAATGGAAGAAATGAGAAAACTCATCTAATGAAGGGGAAGATTTGGTGCTTTCAGCAGATGATGACAACTTGACAGGCTTGTGAAATGGCCTGATAATGGCTACAAGCATCCCATATGTTTTTATCTAAGGTTGCAGTCTCTGGGTCTGAAAGGAGAACATCACGGTATTGTGTCAAAGTTGAAAAGTACATCTGAGGTTTCGGAAAACAGGATGTCATCTTTTTTGATTTGCTCAAACAAAAACTCCTCAGCTACCATAACCCGATACATGATTTTAAGATAAAGCATGCCACTTACAGTGCCAGAGGAGTTCAGATGTTGAGGATTTGGTAGTGGCTGTTCTGCCTGAACCAGAAAGCAGGTATCGGATACCTCATCTTTCTGGTAGGACTTCATGATCACCACTTGCACCTAGCTGTCACTGTCCTGGTGTCGTCGAGCTCAAGGATGCCTTGTGAAATGTGTTCTGTTTTCATCAATGAAAAACTCAGAGGAAGATTGCTAAAAGCAGCTTGGGACAAGTATAGGAGACTGGAGAAAGGAGTGCATGTATCTATTTTATTCCTTCAGTTAATTACCTTTATGTATTAAGGTTTACATCCCAGTGTACCCTTCAAGAAGGATGCATTGCTTTGTCAAATCAAAGCAAGAGAAGGACCAGGCAGTCAAAAATAACCTTCTGTTTTGAAGGTACACTGCTGCCTGGGTGTCTCAGCAGTAATTGTGTTTTCAGCACATTTGGATTGGCTCAGTCGGGGCCCGGTGAGATGCAGAGGAAAATAACAAATCAGGGCGCATGTGTTCAAAGTTAGTTGTAAAGTACTGTGTTTTCTGGCACTTAAAAATAGCGGGCTGTTGTACCTTCGATTTTGTCTTGGTTTTGAAGAGCGCGTACACTTAATTTAAGGGACTGGATGTCCGTGAAGGTAATACAGTGGTTTTGTTTTTTGGGTGTGGGGTTTTTTTTGTTTGTTTGTTTTTTTGTTTTTTTTCACAAATGTGCATTGGGCCTTTTTTGGGTGGGGTGTGGCACTGTGCTGGTCATCCCCCCCACACAGAGCCTTTGCACCTCCCTGCATGTGTGGGTGGCAGATGCTCTGTGTTTGGAAAGGCATTTTTTTCTCTCTTTCTCTGTCTCTTACCACTCTTAGATGGAATAAGAGATAAATGAAGATGAAGGCCTCCTGCAGGAATTTTGTGCAGTGGCAGACTTGGTTGAAATAGTGACCGAAACTCCTTAAAGATGGGGTGGTTTTGCACATTGTCTCTGCAGACCCAGGTTCAAATTGTTCCCAGAACATCCGAGATGGGTGTGCTGTGTTCCCTTCGAGCCTTTGGTCTGATCTGTGTGCAGCCTGTCCCGTGGGGAGGGCCGTGCTCTGGTCGGAGCTGCTGAATCAAGAGAAACGCGTGATGGGAAGGGTGGGATGGGAGTTAGGAGGAGCCTCTTGCTGGAAGAATTTACAGCTCTCACATGAGTTTCCTGTGTCTGCAGTGGTATGTCGGGCTTAGGGCATGATAAGAGATGCTGCTATCCCTCTGTGGGGCTGTTTAGGACACCCGAGTGTCTCTTTCTGATGTGTCTTAATGTGTGTCAGTTCTCTTCTTTGCTTGTTAGTCCCTTGGCAGAAGCTGCTGACTCTTGCAGGACTGTGAGACATCTGAGATCTACCTCTGTATCTGTCTCTGTCTGAGACCTGTACGATTGACTTCTAAGTAATACCATAATGAGTGATAAAAATGGGAGTAAAGACCCAGCAAATTTGCCCATCAGTATTGCAGGGGACTTCTCTTTTTTCTTTATTTTGGAGAATGCTGGTGAAAAACAAGTATTGTGTGACCTTGGAATAATTGAGATGCGCTGCTCCTTTCCTTTTCCTGAAAGCGAGTTGGAAGTTTGATGTTGCCCTTCTAATTCCTCTCTGTTACTCAGAAGTGTATAAATAACAGAGATTTAAAACTCTTGGAAGCAAAGGAGAGAGGACGAGCCCTCAGTAGGAAGATGCCATCCAACGTGCGAGTCTGTAGGTGTGTAGAGGCTGTCTCGTGGGCTAGCAGCTGGGAGAGGACAACTGGTGTGCACGGTAGGTTCGGGCAGTGCAGCTTCTGTACGAGGGCACGAAAACCAAATCTGTGACAGTCCCAGGGAGGGCTGCGTGAAGCGTTGCCACTGCTTCAAAGTCACTAGTAAAGGGGCATACTTCTAAACAAATAGTCACAATATGTAGAATTCATTACTGCTCCTTCCTGAGGCGTGGATGGAGCAGCTCCCTTCATCCTCCTCCTTTAAACTGAAAGCAGAAAAGTCCTTGGTGGCTGTTTCTATTCCTGATGCCCATGCTTCCCCGTCTCATTCCCTCACTGAGCAAATGGGAAGCCCAAAGGCTTTCCAGAGTCAGAGGGAAGTAGTTTCCTTGGTTCCAGTTTTGGCTTCAGTCCCAGTTTCTCCCTGTTTCACGTCCACTGTTTCCTGCACCCAACATCTGGAGATGACCCACCTCTTCGCTGAAGCATGCCTGAGGACATTTCTAGAAGCAATGGCAAAATGTGATGGGTTGCTTTGAGAGGGATCTTTCAAGAGTAGAGGAAAAGCCCAGCAGTATTTAATTGAGTTTAGACTTCTAGCCTCTCTCATCCACTAAACGTCCTTCTGGGATGTCAGAAAACTCTAGAAAATGATCATCATGTTTATTCTAGAAGCTGGCTACTTCCTCATTGCTGGTCAGAGGCCACGTATAGTTGTATTTAGTTCATGAGCTGTTTTTAAAAAAAGTATCCCTGAACTATGGGCTACCACTGTCTTTCTGGAAAGCCACCGATGTGTTGTATAGGAGATTGTGTCAAGGCGTAAGATCAGCCTTATGAGGGACTTCCATGGCCCTGTGCCATGGCATTGGTCATGTAAGATTTGACTTTGTGGACTTTGAGGGAAGCCTTGTAGCTCTCTCCTCTCTCCAGATAACGTGTCCAGGTTCCCGTCCAGGCTCGCTTGTGACACACTGTGCAACCTCCAAAATTGTTTTCAGATGATTGATCCGCCTCTTCTTAATCTGAGCAGCCCTTTCCATAGTTCCTTGTTTGACCACATGCAAACATGTTCTGGCTTGTCTTTGTCCTGGACTATATTCGTGGCCTGTAGGTTCGAATCCCTTGCACGTTTTAGCCTGCTTTGTTATAATATTGCTTAGAATATGCATAATTGTCATTATTTTATTTTGTGTTGTTCAGAGAGAAAGCAGTCCTACCTTTAGAGTAAGCTTCACTTCGAGTAAAACATAAACAGGACAACATATGTTAAGCCTGATAAAACAGTGCTCTGCCACTGTGCTTTGTCCCACTAGTTTTATAGCAATGGCTTGTTTATCAGTGTTTTTCTTTCCTTATTGAATTTTGTGAATATCACTTCTTTGAAAAAATCTGCTCAGAGTAACAAGTTTGACTGTAGATTTTTGGCACCCGCTCAAAATTACTTGCTTGGCTGTGGTGGCGAGTTCCACTTTGTGCTATGAAAGCAGTCGTTTCCTGCTCTGCACTACAGAAAAATGTTCTTTTTGGTTTTGCTGGCATGCAGCTCGCTGAACCTCCTCGCGTGCGGGAGGAGGGGAAGGGGTGGGAAGCGGGACGCCAGCAGCGTTTCAGCAGTTTTGCCCGAGAGGGAGCTAACTGTCTACTATTAATGGGCTGAAGGCATGTGATCTGGCTTCAGCCACTGTCCTTCCCCCTCCGAGTTCAGCTTAGATGTCAGGAAAATCCAGGCATCAGGGGATTCGGTTTGGCATCACGTCTGAAAAATGCGGTGGGAACGCAAGTCTTGCTGCACAGCGATTGCAGTTTCTGGGGGACGATGGATGCGCAGTTTCCCTTGCTGAGACCGAAGGACCCGCAGTTAATTCCTGTTCCCTTCCCTCTCTTCCAGGGGCTGATAGTTCTTGGTGAAGCATCACCCCCTGATCCTGCAGTAGATGATGCATCCCGTCCCGTTAGTGCTGAAGTTAAGCTGGAGCCTGGGGCTGACCGGCTGGTAAGTGCCAGCAGCAGAAGTGACCAGTGGTCCAGATACTTCACGTTTATGAATTTTGGGTAGGGAAGGTTCATCCTTTAAACTGTGGTGGAGAGGGATGCTCGAACCGTGTCTGGCATGGGACCAGCCTCCTTCAGGAGCACCTCTCTGGGCGACCTCACCTGGGAATTGCTGATCTGTTGGTCTGTGTAGCTCGCCCCTTCCCAGATTATTTTGGGGTTAATAAACGATAGGATTTAAACACCTTTTAGAACAGAGTTCCTCGGAGTACCTTTCTAATATGCATTAGCGTTTTGTGAAGCTTAAAAATCCTAACTAATCCTTTCCCTCTAGCAAAAAAGTACCTCAAACTGAGAGCAGCACAATTAGCAAAGGCTAAAAGATGTGGCTATTAATATCTGCCCGAGTGCTACCCCTTGGAAGGGGAACTAATGATTTCAGTGAGATGCACTGGAAACTATGTGGAGTGCCAGGTATTTATTATTTAATGCAGAAATGTAGGCCGCAGACTAAAGGCTTGATCGTACTGTTCAGCCTGGCTGTGATTACTTTTGATCCTGTGGGAGACACCGACATAGTAAAATGGAGGATTTTTGAAGTTGTGGTGTAGCACTAAGAGAAGGGTGGTCCCTGTGTGGCTCAAACTCTTGCTGCCAAGCTGCCGCGCTCCTGCTCTTCCGTCCTAATGTCGTGTTTGGGAGCTTTGCCGCAATGGCAGTGCTTGAGTTTCATAGACCAATATTCCATGTAGCTGATACAGATGAAAAACTTAACTGAAGTGACCATAAAATTTTACTTCGAGGGTTTTCTCCTATCACTGGCAAGACCTTGTCAGAGTTTTCCTTGATACTGAAGGGTAATCTGAAATACTGTGAAATGTTTTATTAATGCTGGACCGCAAAGGGGTTATTAGAAGTGATTGTAACAAATGTCTCCTTGCTTGACACTGGCTTTCAGATGTTTGTTTGGAATTTAAGTCTTTAATTAACAGATTATCTGAGCCCAAAACTCTGCTGTGTAATTTGGTACAATGAACAGGTTTTGCTCACGACTGAAATAGTAGATGGTGCTTCAGATGAACACAGAGCCATGCTGGAGGAGCGACGGGAGGCTGGAGAGCCAGGATGACAGGGGCTGCTACTGATTGTGACTGAATCACAAGCATTACGCAGTGTCTGGTTTTGAACAGTGATGTCCGTCTGTCATGTCATCCCCCTAGCCCCCCCTTTTCATGCTTTAACCCAAAAAGCGCTTGAAGAGTAATAAACAAGCACAGTAACAGCGTGCTCCGATTCGCTTCAGAAATAGCATGCTCCGGCACTGATGAATTGGCTGTTACTTGGGAGCTAATCTGTAAATGGCAGACTGGTAACGGAGATAAATGATCAAATTTAACAGTGATAGGAAGAATATTTTCTTCCTTATCTGTCTGAATCAGAATGTTTATCTGACATGAGTGTATTTTCAACCTGGGAATCTGCAGATGGAAGGGCTGTCCCACTTGACTTTGTCCCTACATATTAAAGACGTTTTCCATATACTTATAAAATCATCACATTGTTCTTTTTTAGATTGTCTTATACATCATCTCTGTATGTATAGAGTAGAAAATGTCTGTAGATTTCTGATGTGTGGAAAAGAAAATGCTTGCTTGGCCGGTTTTGCTGCTCACAGCCATCTCACTGTTTCTGTGTTCACTCAGTTCCTGCATTGTGCCTTTGCTCATCCCTTTCACTTGGATGAGCTTTTCAGAGAGTTTTATTACAGCAGTGCTAGCGTGATGGAGTTCCGACCTCTCGTGTAGGTCTTGGAGGTAACCATGACACAAATGATAGATACTGAGAGCAGCGAAGAACAGCATTTTCGGTATAAAGCAAGCTGCAGGTTCCTACTTGGCACCTTCTTGTGGGTATTCCTGCAGCCATGCTTGCCATCTTGGAGGGTAACTCCCTCTGAAAAGGACTTTTTATTCCCCTTCCATGTGTGGCTGCTGGTGGACACGCACATCGCTCCACGCTGCCAGCTTCTCTGCAGCAGTGGTGGTGGTGTCAGCCACCAGAATGCTGCCTCCAGGCACCCAGCTTCTACACCCTGCTGCTGGAGGGTTCGTGCTTCGTGAGACTTACTCGTAAGGGTGGGGTGTTGAGTCAGAGCCTTGATCTGCTCCAAGCCAGAGATTAGCCCAGAGACCATTCCTGTTGCGTTAGGACACTTACTGGAAGGGTATCTCTTGGGCCCCTCCTGGAGAGGTGCTTATCATTTTGGCACTCTTTGGGCTGCTTAGAATTTGGCGCTTTTTTTCCCTTCCCCGTCCAAACCAGCAGAGTAAGAGACATGTCTGCAACATGGAATAAGAGGAGGAATCCATCCTGTCTCGTCCCCAGCTCCTCTTTGGATCTCATCTGCTCATGGGTACCTCCCTCGGCCTGCCTGAACGCAGGATATGTGTCCTCAGGCATCGGCTGGATATGTGGGATGGGGCTGATAATCCCTAGGAGGAACTAATCCCGTTGGCATGGAGGGAAGGGCTTTGCAAAGAGAGCCTGGGAATGTCTGTTAGGAACTGGCAGATCAGTATGTGAATAAATATTTTTGCTTGATGATGGGAATAACACGAAGCCCTGAAGAACTAACTCGGCTGTTGGTACTGATTCATTGCTTGTATTGCTAGTCTACCGAGCGGGATACGCTTAAAATTTTCAGTAGTAAATGAGAAAAGATATTGATGGCGTGACTTGGTAGGGCTTTTCCTTGCATTAGGGGTTTGTGTCTAGTAATAGGTGAAGGCCCGAACCTGTTTGGTTCTGTTTGGGTTTTTGGGGAATACGGGGGACATGCCTGGGTTGGGTCATGACTACCTGTGAGCACACAGCTGCTTCACTGCCGTGAGAGCCCCTCATAGTCTGCAAGCTCCTGGTTTCATTGCAGCAAGCAGGTGTGCTAAAGCTGAATCTTTGTCCCACCTAAGACTCCTAGGGATCCTAAAGACCTGGACTTCCATACCCCAGGCGTACCCAAAACAGAGAGAAGAGCTCAGTCTGGAGCATCAGTGTGATCCTGGTGTGATGCATGCTCCTCTGGATGCCAGCCCGGCTGCCCAGCCAGCCCCGGAGGAAGGCACGGCATTGGGAGGTACATCCAGGAGGAGCTGGTGCAAGAGCCCTGCCGCTGCTCTGAACGCTGGAGATGTCAGCTCTTGCAGTCCTGCTCGTTGTCCCGTTGCTCATGTCAGAGCCGTGTTAGGGTACACCCATCTTCAGTGTGATAAGGCAAGCCTGGGCTGTTTCTGATAAATAGACTTTCGATTGATGCTTTCCAGCTCCTCTACAGGAAGCAGAGGGGTCACCCTCTACTCCTATCTTGAACCACCGAGCCAGAGACAGCTCTAGGAGAAGAGGTTCCTCCTTTAAGACCCTTTCTGGAGAAGAAAATAAATACCCTATTTCAAAAGAGCTTATGAGTCATGTGTACCCGCCCTCCTGAACCATGGGTGCCTCCGGCGGAGGTGTCATGTGAAGGCTCAGCCTTGCCAAGCCTCTGGAAACCAGAGGGAAAACGTTCAGCTCCTGCACTGTCCTCACCTTGCCAGGGTGCCGCGTTGCGCTTGCGTAACGCTTCTGGCGCGATCTGATCTCGCCCCTCCGTCTGTGTGCTCAGACCGAGTGTCGGAGACGAGCCTGTTGGTCTGATCCTGTCCTTGCCTCCCCCCTGGGAGAAACGTCTTTTTTAGCAGAAGTGTAGAAAACCCAGCAAAGTTCCTCAAACAGGCAACAGGCAGAAGTTTGTGTTGTTAGAAATTGCTCTTCCCTTGGTGAGTCAGGTCTCTGCTATTCTGGAAACCGTTAGTCCAGCACTGCCGTAGCCTGATTTTAGATTTTAGTTGTTCATTGAGCTGGGGGAGTGATTGCAGGGAAAATTTCAATCGATGCAATACTGATGCTTTTGAGATGCAGTATGTGACAAGCAGGGGGGCTGGCTGGCCGGCCATCTATGTAGAGAAGTCAGACCTTTCTGTCTTTTTTTTACTAGCATTTGAACCGCGCCGCTGCCCATGTGTGCGCGAAGGGGGAAGCCCAGCTAGAGGGACGTTGGCAGTGAGTGTAGGAAGTGCTGCACGAAGGAAGAAACGAAGTTTAACCCCGGGGAGGAGGAGGCTGTCTGAAAACAAAAAGAAAGGGCTGCGAGGATGAGGCCGGGGGCACGAACGTGCTCGACCACGCGGGCAGCCACTGGGGTGGAG